TTATGAAAGAGGAAATGACATTTTCACCCAGAAACAAAACCTGAATTGTATAGTATTATGGGATCTTGGTTTCACCATTAAATCCCAGGGTTTTTTAAATGGAGTATCACCACTAAGTCTAGAAGACCAAGACCCCAATTGTTGTTGTTGTTGTTGTTGTTGCATTATATTAAAATAAAGTAGATTTATTCAGGGTCACTCCCCACAACAAAAAATCACCTCGATTTGTTATGGAAACATGCCCAACCCAGTCCAGCTTTACTTTGAACAGAGGAGTGGCACAAGGGATATCCCCAAGTTTCAGATCGAAGGACCCTGGGCATTCTTAAAGGGATACACCCCCCAATTTCAGGTCAAGGTAACCCAAGGCTAGATTTACACTGCTTTATAATCCCTACCAGCTCGGCGTTTCTCTCCGTCCGGGATCCACGGCGAAAAGCGACGGGAAGAAAGCGTAATGGCCGGGGAAGGCGCGAAGGGGAGCGCCGACAGGAAGAGGAGGAGGAAACAGGGCGCTGTCCCTTTAAATCCCCGCTAAGGCCATCCACCGCTCGATTGCCTCTCCTGCCTAGGGCGGGGAGGGTGTTAGAACAGGAGTGGGCGGGGCCAAAGGGAGAGTGGGCGTGGCTAGCTAGAGAACGCGAAGGAGACGGAGAGAGCGGGTTAGAACAGGAGTGGGCGGGGCCGAAGGAAGAGTGGGCGGGGCTAGCTAGAGAAAGCGAAGCAGGCGGAGAGAGCGGGTGAGGAGTGGGCGGGGCCAAAGGAAGAGTGGGCGGGGCTAGCTAGAGAAAGAGAAGGCTGCGGAGAGGGAGGAGTCAAAGGCCAAGTTGTGGGCGTGGCTTGCTGGGGGAAAGAGCCAGGAGCAGGTTAGAACAGGAGTGGGCGGGGCCAAAGGAAGAGTGGGCGGGGCTAGCTAGAGAAAGCGAAGCAGGCGGAGAGAGCGGGTTAGAACAGGGCGGGGCCAAAGGAAGAGTGGGCGGGGCTAGCTAGAGAAAGAGAAGGCTGCGGAGAGGGAGGAGTCAAAGGCCAAGTTGTGGGCGTGGCTTGCTGGGGGAAAGAGCCAGGAGCAGGTTAGAACAGGAGTGGGCGGGGCCAAAGGAAGAGTGGGCGGGGCTAGCTAGAGAAAGCGAAGGAGGCGGAGAGAGCGGGTTAGAACATGAGGAGTGGGCGGGGCTAGCTAGAGAAAGCAAAGGAGACGGAGAGGGCGGAGTCAAAGACCAAGTTGTGGGCGTGGCTTGCTGGGGGAAAGAGCCAGGAGCGGGTTAGAACAGGAGGAGTGGGCGGGGCCAAAGGAATAGTGGGCGGGGCTAGCTAGAGAAAGAGAAGGAGACGGAGAGGGCGGAGTCAAAGGCCAAGTTGTGGGCGTGGCCTGCTGAGAGAAAGAGCCAGGAGCGGGTTAGAACAGGAGGAGTGGGCGGGGCTAGCTAGAGAAAGCGAAGGCGGTGGAGAGGGCGGAGTCAAAGGCCAAGTTGTGGGCGTGGCCTGCTGAGAGAAAGAGCCGGTTAGAACAGGAGTGGGCGGAGCCAAAGAAAGAGTGGGCGGGGCTAGCTAGAGAACGCGAAGGCGGCGGAGAGGGCGGAGTCAAAGGCCAAGTTGTGGGCGTGGCTTGCTGGGGAAAGAGCCAGGGACGGATTAGAACAGGAGCAGTGGGCGGGGCTAGCTAGAGACAGCGAATGAGGCGGAGAGGGCGGAGTCAAAGGCCAAGTTGTGGGCGTGGGTTAGAACAGGAGGAGTGGGCGGAGCCAAAGGAAGAGTGGGCGGGGCTAGCTAGAGAAAGGGAAGGAGGCGGAGAGGGCGGAGTCAAAGGCCGAGTTGTGGGCGTGGCTTGCTGGGGGGAAGAGCCAGCTGAGTGGGCGTGGCTTGCTGGGCGAAGCCGCCGCAGAGGAGGCGCGTGGGTTGCAGCAGGATCTTTCTTTTTTTTTTTTTCCCACGCCAATAAATAAATAAATAAACGACTAGCGTTTCTATTATTATCATCAAAGGAGCTGATTACATAAAAATACAACATTTTTAATGCACTTTTTAAAAAATCTTATTTTAATATATTATTTTTTATTGTTTATTGTTTTGTTTATTGTTTATTGTTATGTTTCTCCTTCCCTTTTAACACGCCTCTCTCCCTTGCAAAAGGCTTGGGATTGGTTCCAGGGTGGGCCCCACGCGGGACCGTGGATCACAACAACAACAAACCCCCAGCTTTCCTTTTTTTTCTCCCCGCTCTTAAAAAATAATGAAATCCCCATTTAATCGGTGGAAAGAAGAGGTTACTCGCGAGTAAAATGCCCACGCGAGGCGCGACCCGCGTGGGCCAAGCTGACTTTAAATGCGAAAGAAAAAAAATAAATACTGAAGATCACATTGGAAGAAAGGGAGTCCAAACGGAATGTTATTTTTTTAAAAATCAGATTTAAAGGAGTGGGAGATGAAATCACGCGTGGAATCCAGGTTAGTCCGGTTTTAGAGGGAGGAGATTTTGGAAAGTAATTTTCAGCTGGGAAGAATGGCCCATAAGAGAGCAAAGGATGATGCAAATGCCTTATTATTATTATTATTATTATTATTATTATTATTATTATGGTGCAAATGCCTCAATAGTATTACAGTATTATTATTATTATTGTGCAAATTCCTTATTATTATTATTATTATTGTGAAATATCTTATTTTTATTCTTATTAAGATAGTGCAAATGCCTTAATAGATTATTATTATTATATTAGGATGGTGCAAATGCCTTAATAGATTTGTTGTTGTTGTTATGGTGCAAATACCTTACTATTATTATTGACACAAAAGCACAGTATGTCACAGCAAACGAGATCTATATGCTGGATTTCGTATCACAAAATCATTATTATTATTATTATTATTATTAGGATGGTGCAAATGTCTTAATAGATTTTTTATTATTATTATTATTATTATTATTATTATTATTATTATTATGCAAATGTTTTAGTATTCTTCTTATTATTATTAGGATGGTGCAAATGCCTTAACAGATTTATCATTATTATTATTAATGTTATTATTTTGGTGCAAATGCTTTATTATTATTATTATTATTATTATTTGGATGGTGCAAATGCCTTAATAGATGATTTATTATTATTATTATTATTATTATTATTATTAATATTAATGTTATTATGGTGCACATGCCTTATTATTGTTATTTATTATTAGGATGGTGCAAATGCCTTAATAGATTTTATTATTATTATTATTATTATATTATTATATTATTATTATTAGATTGATGGTCTTATTATTGTTAGTATAACTTTTATTTTAGGATTTTGGGGGTTTTTTGTCAGGAGCAACTCGAGAAACTGCACGTCGCTTCTTGTGTGAGAGAATTGGCCTTCTGCAAGGACGTTGCCCAGGGGACACCCGGATGTTTGATGTTTTACCATCCTTGTGGGAGGCTTCTCTCATGTCCTTGCATGGGGAGCTGGAGCTGACAGAGGGAGCTCATCCGCACTCTGCCCAGATTCGAACCCTCTTCGGTCCTGCAGGCACAAGGGTTTAACCCATTGGGCAATTAGGGGATCCAAATTAGGATAGTGCAAATACCTTATTATTATTGTTGTTGTTGTTGTTATTTTACTGACACTAAAGCACAGTATGTCACAGCAAACGAGATCTATATGCTGGATTATTATTATTATTATTATTACTATTATTGTTATGGTGCAAATGCCTTGTTAGGATGGTGCAAATGCCTTTATATATTATTATTATTATTATTATTATTATTAATTATTATGCCAATGCCTTGTTGTTAGGATGGTGCAAATGCCTTTATATATTATTATTATTATTATTATTATTATTATTATTATTATTATTATTATTATTTTACTGACACTAAAGCACAGTATGTCACAGCAAACGAGATCTATATGCTGGATTATTATTATTATTATTATTATTATTATTACTATTGTTATGGTGCAAATGCCTTGTTAGGATGGTGCAAATGCCTTTATATATTATTATTATTATTATTATTATTATTAATTATTATGCCAATGCCTTGTTGTTAGGATGGTGCAAATGCCTTTATATATTATTATTATTATTATTATTATTATTATTTATTATTATTATTATTATTATTATGGTGCAAATGCCTTAATATTATTAGCATTATTATTACTATTATTACCAGCAACTAGGGAAAGGATGCTCAGCCTGCCAGAAAGAAGTATGTCAGGTAAGGGTGGATTTTTATATATTTTGTTTCAATCTAAACCTGAGTCCATCCCTTGTAAAACATTTGGAATCAGGTCTTAAAACACCTGCAAACCACTGCAGGTGAACATTATTATTATCCTACCAAAACCCAGTCCTTGGAGACAACGCTGCTTCTCCCGATCGATTACCAAAGGATCAATAATCAATCATGATGCAAACAAATCAATGGCTGGTGAAAAACCCCGTTACATTAAACCACAAAGAATCAGGACACTGCTTAAAAAATAGTAGTAGTACAGTAGACTCTCAGTTAACCGGAACTCTCAAGCAACCAGCAAAGAAATAATAATACTGCATTTGCAGAACTGTTTTTTATAATCCAGCAAAGCTGTGTTGGATTGCAGTTTGGTTTGGATGCCTGCATTTCAGTATGGATCTCAAGTCAATACAGAGTTTATGGTATTGTATAAGGTATCGTAGTGGAGTTTATGGTATTGTATAAGGCCTATTTCTCATAGTAACTCTCAAGCAACCAGAAACTGCATTGACCTGGCACCTACCCATCCCCATGGGTGCCTCTTAACAGAGTTTACTCTAATAATAATAATAATCCCCAAGGAATGCATTTGGAATAATTGCCCACTTGGAGCATCATGTACATCATGTACAGACTGCAGTCAGAGGGGATTTGGATCCTTTAGGGAAAGATTTGGGGTCTGCCGTGGGGTAGGTGGCTCCAGTGCCCCCCAATAAGCCCTTTCCACCCCCCAAATCCCCCCTCCCCTCCGTGGCCTCCTTACCCCTCTCTCTGTCTCCTGCCCGAGGTCCTTTAGTTGCTTCTAGGACGTACATACAATGCTCCTTCTCTGCTCTCTGGCAGCTTCCAAAATAACAGGCAAGCGAGCTGGGTCCCCCCCCCCCTTTTTTTTTTTTTGCCTGCTGAAGAATAGACAGAGAGAGAGAGACAGAGAAGGGAGGGTGGCAGAGCTTCTATCTTTGGGAGACACCCAAATCCCATTTGGTTATGGATGCTAAGCAGTGCCGGCTATGGTTGGGTCCTGGAAGGGAGACCGGCGACAAATACCAGAGGAAGGAATGCGCCAAGGGTTCCTCTTCGCCGTAGAACGAATGCAGTTTGATACCGCTACGACGGACATGGCTCAATATTGATTTATTTATCGTGTCAGGAGGAACCAGACAGTTGTATTACATTTTTAACAAAACAAAAAAACAGACAAAACACAAAGTTTGCAAGCTTGGTAGTTGATTAAATGTCCTTTGACCAGTATCTGGCCACTTGGAGTGCCTCTGGTGTTGCCGCAAGGAGGTCCTCCATTATGCATGTAGGTTGCATTGCAGCAGGTGGTCAGCGGTTTGCTCTTCTCCACACTCACATGTCATGGATTCCACTTTGTAGCCCCATTTCTTAAGGTTGGCTCTGCATCTCGTGGTGCCAGAGCGCAGTCTGTTCATCTCCTTCCAAGTCACCCAGTGTTCTGTGTGCCCAGGAGGGAGTATTTCATTTGGTATCAGCCATTGGTTGAGGTTCTGGGTTTGAGCCTGCCACTTTTGGACTCTTGCTTGCTGGGGTGTTCCAGTGAGTATCTCTGTACATGGCTCAATGATATGGAATGATGGGAGATGGAGTTGAAGGTTTTGAGCTAAACAACTAAACAACATATCTTACGATTTTATCACATTAAGCCATGCCAGTTAAATTGGTGTCAAACTACATTAATTCTTTTCTTTAGCTGTGCCCTATGTTGCCAAGATTGTTTATGTAAATCTGGGATACCCTTTCTTTGCATCCGCATGCAAATGAATTGGCATTAAATGTTTATTTTTGTTTGTTTGCTAGATCGATTGTGCCATTATTTTTATTTATTTACTAGCTGTCCTCTGCCACGCGTTGCTGTGGCCCAGTCTGTGTATATGTGTTTTGTGTGTGTGTATATGTGTGTATATATTTGTGTATGTGTGTATATATGTGGTTTTGCGCGTGCATTGTAATGTATTTTTTTAAATATGTGTTTTGTGTGCCTTTATGTGTATATATATTTCTGTATATATTTCTGTATGTATTTCTGTATATATTTCTGTATATGTGTATATATGTGTGTTTGTGTACATATGTGGTTTTGCGCATGCGTTGTAATGTGTTTTTTGGCTTTTTAAGTCTCTTCCACTTTGTTTTTCAGTATTTTTATGAGTTGTCGAAGGCTTTCATGGCCGGAATCACTACCTCTGAGGATGCTTGCCATAGATGCAGGTGAAACGTCAGGAGAGAATGCCTCTAGACCATGGCCATACAGCCTGAAAAAACCTACAACAATCCAGTTTTTATGAGTGATGGTCACTCATTGGCCTGATAGGTGTATTGTGTCCAATTTTGGTGTCAATTCGGCCAGTGGTTTTTGAGTTACGTTAATCCCACAAACGACCATTACATTTTTATTTATATAGATTGGTCCAGTGAATGTTTATTTTTGTGAGATATAGTTGAGAAAAAGTATCTAATCTCAATCCCGGCAAAACTAAATTTACTTGACAATAAAAAGTAGATGGAGCCACAGTGACGCAACGGATTAAACTGCTGAGTTGCTGAGCTTGTTGACCAGAAGGTTGGCAGTTTGAATATGTGGGATGGGTGAGCTCCTCTTGTTAGGCCCAGCTTCTGCCAACTTAGTTCGAAAACATGCAAATGTAAGTAGATCTATAGGGCGCTCCATGCATCTATAATGGCGCTCCATGCAGTTATGCCAACCACATGACCTAGGAGGTATCTACGAACAATGCCGGCTCTTCGGCTTAGGAATGGAGATATGCCCCACCTCCCAGCGTCAGACATGACTGCAATTAATGTTGAGGGGAAACCTTAACCTTAATTAAGGTGTAGATATACCTTGATAATAGAATCATAGATTTGGAAGAGACCTTGTGGGCCATTCAGTCCAATCCCCTGGCAAAAAGCAGGAAAATCGCCTTCAAAGCACCCCCAACAGATGGCCATTCAGCCTCTGCTTAAAAGTCTCCAAAGAAGGAGTGTCTACCACACTCCGGGGCAGAGAGTTCCACTGCTGAAGAGCTCTCACAGTCAGGAAGTTCTTCCTCATGTTCAGTTGGAATCTCCTTTCCTGTAGTTTGAAGCCATTGTTCTGCATCCTAGTCTTCAGGACAGCAGAAAACAAGCTTGCTCCCTCCTCCCTATGACTTCCCCTCACATATTTATACATGGCGTGCATTATGTCTCCTCTCAGCCTTCTCTTCTGCAGGCTAAACATGCCCAGCTCTTTAAGCCGCTCCTCATTGGGTGTGTCCTCCAGACCCTTGATCATTTTAGTCACCTTCCTCTGGACAAATTTGGCCCTAGAGTAGCAGAAGTAGAGCACAGAGGACCTAGAAATTTTCCACAAGAGTCAAATCCGCAGGAGAGCCGACTATACCAATTTGGCTATCAAATTGGAAATCATAAGAAAAGTGGAGGCTGGTGAATACAAAAGTCATCGCTGGATGCATTTTTGGAGGAAGCCTTCAAGTGAGCTCTGCAAGATTCAGAACGTTGTTTGCTTGTTTCATAGAATCATAGAATCAAAGAGTTGGAAGAGACCTCATGGGCCATCCAGTCCAACCCCCTGCCAAGAAGCAGGAATATTGCATTCAAATCACCCCTGACAAATGGCCATCCAGCCTCTGCTTAAAAGCTTCCAAAGAAGGAGCCTCCACCATACTCCGGGCAGAGAGTTCCACTGCTGAACGGCTCTCACAGTCAGGAAGTTCTTCCTCATGTTCAGATGGAATCTCCTCTCTTGTAGTTTGAAGCCATTGTTCCGCGTCCTAGTCTCCAAGGAAGCAGAAAACAAGCTTGCTCCCTACTCCCTGTGGCTTCCTCTCACATATTTATACATGGCTATCATATCTCCTCTCAGCCTTCTCTTCTTCAGGCTAAACATGCCCAGCTCCTTAAGCCGCTCCTCATAGGGCTTGTTCTTGATCATTTTAGTCGCCCTCCTCTGGACACATTCCAGCTTGTCAATATCTCTGTTCAATTGTGGTGCCCAGAATTGGACACAATATTCCAGGTGTGGTCTATCCAAAGTGGAATAGAGGGGTAGCATGTTTTCCCTGGATCTAGACACTATGCTCCTATTGATGCAGGCCAAAATCCCATTGGCTTTTTTTGCCGCCACATCACATTGTTGGCTCATGTTTAACTTGTTGTCCACGAGGACTCCAAGATCTTTTTCACACGTACTGCTCTCGAGCCAGGCATTGTCCCCATTCTGTCTCTTTGCATTTCGTTTTTTTCTGCCAAAGTGGAGTATCTTGCATTTGTCCCTGTTGAACTTCATTTTGTTTAATGAATTGTTTGCTTCCTTTCTAATGTACACACTGCTAGTTTATAATAAAATGCTTCTGAAACATATTGAACTATGCCCTTTGTTGTTTTTGTGGTTTAGGAACCTATTTCACTTTCTTCTAGATGATTTCTGCCTCTGGTGCTAAAGAAGCAATGTCCGGGAACACATCTATTTCATTCGCCAAGGCATACCTGCCTAGATGTCGCCTTATCCCTTCTAATTATCTATCTATTTCTGGTGTTCAGACGGGAGTGCTGATGGTTAGGTAGCCAAAACGGCACCATCCCCACCCAAAAGGGAGACTCCGACATCTCAGCCCCTTTCAATAGTCCTATCAGCGCTGGTCATCTTCCATTCCTGTATAATTTGCTTTCTAGGTCACTGGGTAACTAGCTATACTTAAAACATGCTCAGGGTGTTGGTTGTTGTTTTGGCAGGCTAAATATATCTGTGTGAAACCGCAAGAACAGGCCCATGGTAAATTGCATTTACACCACTTACTTGGCCAGTTGCCTCTAAGTAAGCCATGGCTCGATTACACAATAGGATTGGAATGGAGAATTGGTTAGCCTTCCAGATGTTATACTACAGCATCCATTAGCCCCACAATAAGAGATTATGGGAATGCTGAGTTTTTTTTGGGGGGGGGGGGGAACCTACTTTGTTTTGACTAGATCTAAAATTGAAGGATTTTAGTGTGAGCTATGATCCCAAAAATAGTAAAGGATCTTAGCTCTTGATTGCAACCCAACACCATTTGAAGGGTCACATTCCTCAACCATGCCGTAGGAGGAGAAAAATCCTACAAAACATTCTTTGGATAAGTGTAGATCTCAAAGGTCATTACTTTGATGCTGCAAATTGAAATGGAAGTTTGCTCAAGTAGCATCATTAATGTTTAGGAAGTCTGACTTGGCCTCGGTAGTCCACGCTCTGGTTACATCCCGTATAGACTGCTGCAACGCACTCTATGTGGGGTTGCCTTTGAAGACTGCCCAGAAGCTTGAAATGGTCCAATGAACGGCAGCCAGATTGCTAACAGGAGCAACGCTCAGGGAGCATACAACTCCTCTGCTGCGGCAGCTCCACTGGCTGCCAGTTTGCTACCGGGCACAATTCAAAGTTCTGGCTTTAGCTTATAAAGCCCTAAACGGTTCTGGTCCAACTTACATGTCTGAACGCATCTCCCCTTATGAACCATCTAGGACCTTAAGATCATATGGGGAGGCCCTGCTCTCGTTACTGCCTTCGTCACAAGTATGTTTGGTGGTGATGACAGATAAAGCCTTCTTAGTGGTGACTCCTTGGCTATGGAACGCCCTCCTCTAGATATTAGATCAGCCACCTCCCTTTTAACAGAGAAAAGTCAAGACGTGGCTTTTTGAACAAGCGTATGTTTGGCGGGGATGACAGGACCTTTTTGGTGGTGGCTCCTTCGCCATAGATGCAGGCGAAATGTCAGGAGAGAATGCCTCTCTAGACCATGGCCATATAGCCCGAAAAAACCTACAACAACCCAGAAATATAAATCCTTTGAATGAATAAAAGTGAA